ATTAAGTTCCATGAAATATATAAGCTGTGAAAAAATATCGTGGTTTGATGCTATTTAAAAGAAATAATATCATTTAAATAATTTCTTTAAAAATAATAGCTCCATAAGATGTTTTGTTAAACTTAACCAGACAGAAATTCCAAACAAGCTGTCATGGGCTCCATCTTCATTAAGCACTCCAAAATAGTTATAAATCTACCTCTCTACTGTCTCTTTGCCAACTACCTGGGAAAATTTAAAACCATTCTTCAGTTCAGACTTCCTGAGCTTTCTCTAACTACAATATGCCTGCACCATGCAAGCAGACCAACAATTTCTTAGGAGCCAACAACAAAATGTGAAGTATTTTCTGTCTATATGTTAAAAACTAAGATTTTGAATATTAATCACCATTTTCCCTAATTCTGATCTATAAAGCATTCACCAGTATTGTTAGTTTTCCCTCAATTACATGCTGGAAAATGAAATATCCTGCATTATGAACTGCATTTAACACTGCGATTAAGTTTAATGCTGTCACCTCCAATAAAAGTAACGTTAGAATGGAAGAGTGAAGAATGAATGAAATGACTGAATGAAATAAAAGAATGAATGAAAACTTAAAGCTATTTCTGGATTTGCCTGTGGTGATGCTTGACATTTGGTTCCTAGAAAATGACTGTAAGTACTGTCCTCAGAGTTTACGTATAATCATTGGTTTTGTTATTCAGCCAGTTTCTACAGGGAAAGAAAAGCTAAATGTTTGCCCTATACGTTAGGACATGTAGCCCTTCAAGATCTGTCTATAATTGTAAATCACACTTCTCTAATACATCTTTCACATAGGAAGACCATTAGGAAAACACAAGGTCTCTACTTTGTTTTTGCAGCCAGTGAGATAAGTTGCTTTTGTTTCACGTAGGAGGGGAATTTCAGAAATGCTGCTGTAAGATTTGTGTACAACAAGCAAAATGCTGGCAATCTCTGGTTTAAGAGGTATTTCTCAAATTTTAATGCAGGAATATCCCAGGCCCAGCCTATTCCAGGTTTAATCAAAAGCCTATTTCAAATTCATTCTACTTCAAGTTCAGTAACAACATTTTCTGCATGGCATTTCTACGTTTGATAATTTTGCTACAAAATGCAGGAGAGTACCATCAAACTGCTAACTGGTTGGTCTCCAAATTTTGCTTGCTTGCAAAACATTGTAACATAAATCAAATAAAGATTGAAAAAATACTGCACTGTAAGTAATTACATTTGCTTCCATCTGATCATTTTCAAATCTAACCACAGGATTTGTAAGACATATTCCCTGGAAGAGTCCTGGTTCTCCTCATTAAACTTTGTACGCTGTGTTTCCTTGACGTGATGATATTAATACATGCAACTTAAAACCACATCTATTTCTACATTTGGTTTGTTGCCCGGCAGTAAAAAGAAAATATGTCATAAATTTCAGAGAACATTGAACTTGCTGGTGTTGAGCAAGATTATGTTTTCCAATTACGTGTGATTTACTAACCTCGCTAATAGACAACTTCATTTTCCACAGATGTCTTAAATCTTAAAATCAATTTTAACTACATATTAAGAACTCTCTCTCCCCGATCCGACATACTTCCTTTTTTATGATTCTTCATGTTTTAAATACTTTTTTCCTTCTCTAGTCACTTTATCAGATGAAATCACAACCCTCACTGTCCACTAAGAGCCACGTTTTTCCTCCACCTGACAACCTTCCAGGCTGACTTCATTGAATCATAGAATGGCCTGGGTTGAAAAGGACCACAATGATCATCTGGTTTCAACCCCCTGCTGTGTGCAGGGTCGCCAACCACCAGACCAGGCTGCCCAGAGCCACATCCAGCCTGGCCTTGAATGCCTCCAGGGATGGGGCATCCACAGCCTCCTTGGGCAACCTGTTCCAGTGCCTCACCACCCTCTGAGTGAAGAACGAAGAATTTCCTTCTAATATTAAGCTAAACCTCCCTGTCTCAGTTTAAAACCATTCCCCCTTGTCCTATCACTATTCACCCTCATGAACAACCACTCCCCCTCCTGTTTATACACTCCCTTCAAGTCCTGGAAGGCCACAATGAGGTCTCCCCAGAGCCTTCTCTTCTACAAGCTAAACAAGCCCAGTTCCCTCAACTTATAGGAGAGGTGCTCCTGCCCCCTGATCAATTAGTGGCCCTCCTCTAGACCTGCTCCAAGAGTTCCCCATCTTTCTTGCGCTGGGGGCCCCAGGCCTGGACTTCTAACCTTTACAACAAAATTTCAGTGCTATCAACTTTTAATAATACTCTTTGCCTTGCATTTGATGAAGCAAAGACAGGATTGTCACATTCAGATGAAAAACTATTTCAATATACTTTTACAATTTTAGGAACGTAGTATGAATTAAGCATGTCAAATTTAAAAGTAATCTTGAAGTGCAGATTTTCTAATTCTGAACAAGAGCCAGTCATTTTTTAATCAAAACCATTTAAAATATTCATTCATGTTTCAGTGTGAGCACTTTTAATAAAGTAAACCCTTCAACGTAGCCATCAATATAGGAAAAGCTTTGAATAATCATAAAATCAATTTTGTTGCGCAATGCTGGGACAACATTTCTTAGCTAATACACTGAAAGGCTGCATTACAATGATAGCTCACATAAGGAGCATTCACACTAAAACGCCAGTTATTCTTTCTACAGAAAAGAAAAACTCAAAGCAAAGCAAGACTGTGACAACAAAGAGTGTGAAGATAAAAAAAACTCAAGTAGCCGATTGTACCGTATTACATTCAAGTAACTTAGCAATAACTTCAAAAAATTCAGAAAGGCAGGATGAGAAAAGAACGTTCATAAAATATTGCCCTATTCATTATATACATTAAGATGACAGTTTTCACTGTTAATGGTCAAAGAATATTTAAGATACCTTGCATAAGATTGTCTCATTATTGGTACTCGCCACAGACTACTATCACTAAAAAAGCTGATTTGTACAAGACAGTTAAGGTCTATAATACATCATATGAAAACACAAAGATTACTTCAACTGGTTAAAAATAAAGAGGAAAAAGAAGAGAGAAACAGAGTGTGCATTACATCCTGGAAGACTGGAAACACACAGCATTTTACAATGCCTATAACTGTTGAATGGGAAACATATTCCAGCTAAAATTTACGTTCTGAAAGACAATGCATCTCCTTGTCTAAATGTGTACACACAAAAATTCTTCATTAACCAGACATCTTCATCACTGCCACCTTCTGGGTGGGAACTACTGAGTTGAAAAGACAATCGTTTAAATCCTCATACACCCCATGCACTAATAAATCAACGTTAGCCTGTACATACAATACATACTTCCTGAGGGAGCTCATTACCTTACCACATGATGACTGCATATAGGTTTACCTGGCTGCAGAGTGGTGAGATTGGGGAGCAAATACTATGCCACTGAATATTTGAAATTGTAGCTCACTGAAAGAAAATCCTATGTAAAAATCCTGCTTTTTATTTAAGTTAAATCAGGCACTTAATCAATACTACTCTTTCAATATCTTTTTTCCAGTGAGCTACAGCTTTTACATTAAGACATCTCTTGTGTTATACAAATAGGATAATATATTCAATAGCAATTTCAATTTGAGTAAGTATTAGGCGTGAAAACAAATGAGACCTGCAAAAAGAGTACTTACATGCATCAAAATACCAGTGAAAATCACCACCTAGGTGGGATTTGCAAATACAGTCCCCATGACTGTAAAAGCCTATTTTATAGAAGGTCTGAATGTGGTGTTTGGCAGCAAAAAGAAGATTAAACGAAAACAACTAAGAAAATTTTTCAACAGTGCAAGAGTACCAAGGGCAGATTTCCAAGCACAGAGCCCAAGCTACAAACAAGGTCAGTGGGACTCAGCAGAACAAAGATGACTCCCAAGGGACCTGAGCTGTCAAGGCACATGAAATACACGCTGTTTGTTTCACCGATGATGACCAGGGCAATCATCACCATAGACATCATAAAAACACATAGTACCAAATCTTTGAATCCTCTGAGGAGCAGATGACAGATAAGCATGATTCCAGATGAAGATGTTTATGGTGAAAGTTTGACATGTTTAGAACACAACAAATTTAAAACATTACCAGTTTCAACCTTCCCATCCATAAGTCAGGTGTGTGTACAAGTTTTTACTTATGTGTTATAGATGGTCCAGATACTTGGAAAAAAGGATAGCATTTACAAGAAAGGGATTCTGGGGGACCTTATCAGTTTTAATAGTTAACTCAGACAATGGTGATGGACTGCTGTTCCTCAAAACCAATCCTCTATAGGTCATCAAATTAATTAAAACAAAGAGCAGTGAATTTGAAAACAAAGACTTTGAAAACAATTTTCTTACGGATGCAGCAACATTTTTCCTGCACCTTTCCACAGCAATAGAAGGTCTGGGGATAAAGCGCCACGTGTTCCAAAACAACTATTCTGGCCATGTTGAGAAACTCAGATAGAAGTCACAGTATCAAGACCCCTCAATATTGAAGGAATTCAATAGTTAATTGTTGGAACATCATTCTAAATGCAAAATAAAGACTTACAAGGACTACTAAAAAAACTAGTAATCCAGATATCAATCACGATGGGAAATACGCCACAACTTATACTGCAATTCCATGAAAACATCTTAGTGAAATTTAAGAACACGCACTGTCAAGCAAAGGGAAAATTTCAGCATCAGCCACCATTCCTACAAAATACTGAGACCACAATTACAGGCAAAAGTGCATACTCAATTTGCACATTTACTATCACTTGAGCAGTGATACTTAAGAGATATACACCTTACATTTCTCTTCAGATAAATCATAAGCAAAACATCTAATGGAAAAAAAATCCTAGCAAATTCTTCTGTGTTGCAGATCACCAGTAAATGAAAATATTATCTTTCTCACGCTGCCCGAAATTACAACCCAGTATGTCCTCGGAAGAAATCATCAACAGATTTTGACATTACTCACCCCACTGCAGAGGAGCCAACTGTAGATGCTCCAGGACCAGTTGATTAAGAACGCCTTCCACGCTTGCTTCCCCTTCACGCTTCAAGGAAGGGTAAATTAGAATTAAGGAAAACTTTGATTTGGAGAGAAAAAGAGCTTGCAATATGCACAAATTTTATGACTGAAAATTAAAACTGCAACATCAACATTCATTAATGGTTACAGTTCTATATTTGGGCTTATTACTCAATGAATTGACTAACAATAGAAATTAAAGCTGTTCGTATCTTCAGAATATAAAAATTTTATTCCACTGAGGAGCAATAAATACAAAGTTGCAAAGACAAAAGTCTCTGAAGTGTACTAAAGAGCGAGGGAAAAAATGTCTGGAAGCTCTGAAAACACAGAATCTGGAAGTATGCAGTGCAGGATTCCAATTCAAAATGACCAATTTAGAACAACCTGAAAACCTGAATGATGAAATACAGAACAGAACAAACGTGGGGTAGCTTAGTTTTGAATGATGGCTTGGTGTGAGATATGGATATACAAGGAGTGTTATGCAAGGCAGAGAGAGTTTGTCCATACAGGGCGAGCTTCACAACAGAATTGCACAGGCATGTAACCTGCAAGCTTCCCTCCTACACAGTCCTGCATGAACTCAGCAACAAGCTCAGACTGAAGTAAGAAAAAATTAGGAGATCTCACTCTACAGACAGTGAAGAACTGAAATCAACTGTTGGGAGTAACAGAATCTCTATTTGTATCCGTCTTCAAAATAAGTTACACAAGTTCTGATATAAAAGGTTAGGTGGCATCCACCGGAACACAAAGACTACATTTTCCAATTAAACAAATTAAGAAGAGTAACTATAAATAATACATAGAAATTATAATATTAATATAAAGATAATAATGTGGGATGTATCAGCCAACGTGCATTTGTAACAGGAAGAGCATCGGACTTCTTTTTTCAAATTCCCTGACGTCAGAAGGACATGGGATACAAAGGGCTCCGTACAGAAATCAGAATGATTTCGTATTTAGCTGAAGTTTTACATTCACTGACTTTGGCATGGCTTTGTACCACAAGAAGCCCCTGTCTCAGGTAGGCAGAGTAATAGCTGGGGTTGGAAGGGTCCCTGGGTCCATCCGGTGCAACCTCTGCTGAAGCAGGAGCACTCAGAGCAGGGTCCCCAGGACTGTGCTCAGGCAGCTCTGGAAGATCTTCAAGGAGGAGACTCCGCAACATCTCTGGGCAACCTGTGTCAGTGCCCTGTCACCAGCACAGCACTGAAATGCACCCTGATGCTCGGAGAGAACCTCTTGGGCTCCAGTTTGTGCTCATGGCTTCTTGTCCTGTCAAGAGGCACCCCTGAGCCTGGCTCTGACCAATCTGTGCCCTCCCTTCAGATATTTAACTGCAGGATAAAGTGGACGTGGAGCGATCACAGCTCCTCTATGGCCACACATACAACAGTTAAGCTTCATGAAAACACCCCTTTTCCAACTTAGGAGTCTTCTACTGAGAGAACAGGTGAAGTGATGTCCAAATGTAACAACAGGGTGAACTCCTAGGAAGATGCCTCAAGGCTTCATCCTACTACTCCAAAAAACTGGAAGTATCTTTCTCAAAAATAAGCAAGCAAAGGTAGAGGAATCTATGAGCTCAAAACTCTACAAGGAGAGGTACATCATCTGAACCATTGACTATGTTCTCATCTGCATCACTGAAAAGAAAATGAACAAGTACTGAAGACAACTGATTATTAACATGGGACATAATTTTACAGGCTCTCCAGGAGGCTTTAAAAAAATTCTTGAAATCTCACATTAAAATAAGATCTAACAGCTAGTGGCTGAGACTCAAGAGCTCAATGAGATGACAGAAGAAGGGAATCAATACAGTTCATACCATTCTTGTAATAGCCCTTCTTATGATCTGAGAAAAATGTATTAAATAACTTTAATTTCCCTATAAGGTCTACAAATGAAGAATTCACAAACCCTAAGAAAAAAGTCTGAAAGCCATAAACAACACTACACAAAACCAAGTATTTGGAAAATCCAACGCAGTTGCCTGCCACCTCACAAAAACACTGCTGCTGCAAAATAAGACCCAGGACACCAGCAAAGCAGAATAATTTCCATAAAGCAAATTATAGGATAGCGAATAAGTAACAGGAAGTACTTCAAAGATATGGCAGATAAATAATTCTGTTATCTCATCTCCAATCTAGGAATGTAATGAGAGAAAACACCAATAAAAAACCAGGATTTTAAAGAAGTTTTAAAACAGAGCAGCAGCCAGTAACTCTAACATTAAACTAACTTTAAACTGTAATTTACTTAAAATGGCTCACAGTGGTGCCTGGAATATTACAATTTTTTACTGCTTAAATGTCCATGGAAAGCCTAATGTCTCAGATATCAACACAACATGACTATTAAACAGCTGATTCTCCAACATTCACTATTGGTAAATGATATCAAACCAGGTCCACGCATTCCTAAGGAAAACGTCTTTTTTTTTTTGCAGTTTCAAATTCAACACATCTGCAGGTTATTTCTACAGCCAACCACCTCTTGAACTTGATGCAAAATGTTTTCCTATGCATGTGATATTTCTGTAACAGACATAAAAATATGAAATGTCCCTTCAGGTGAGTGGAATAATCAGAGGAAAGTCTATTTTTTTGGCCATTACTCCCAATGTATGGCAAGTGTTTACAGGGATTTTAAAAGATAATACACAGCTATACTTCAATTAATAAAACCAATGACCTGCTCACGCTTTTTTTTTTTTAAGCCCTTTGTCCAGGTTCTGCTCCCTGGTACAAGACAACAAAATATTCCCTGGAATACTGAGTTGCACAAACTAATTCAAAAAACAGCAAATCCTCAACAGTAATACCTAAAATCTTGCCCGCAAAGCATCCTGTATCTTAAGTCCAGGTCAAGCTCTGCTGCCAACCAGACTCAAAGGCAAAAATCAGCGAAACAGAGAAACCTGATATGGTTAGCTGGTCTGAGCATGCCTAATGGTTACAAATAGCACTGAATTTCAGTAGTACTGAGATCTTTGTCTCTTGACCGTGCCAATACTGAGCAAACTGAACAGTGCAGCAAACACATCACATTGTAAGTGAAAATTAACCAAAACATTCAGAGATAAAATGACAGGAAAAAGAGAGGACAACTTAATTCAAGTTTGCTTATTTCTAAGCTAAGCCTTTAGATATCAATGAAAGCAAAACAGCTGAAGCAGGGAGTGCTATTATAGCCTTCCATTGTTTGCTCACAGTGCAATCTGATAAGTGACAGAAGACTAAGATCCAGAATTCAAAATTCATCCACAAAACAAACAAAAAAAAGAACAAAAAAAAAACCCAACCCCCCCCAGAAACCACCAAAACCAAAACCCTGCACAGATACAATGAATTACAGGCTGTTGAAGTCCAACACTGTACATCCATCTACTCATAAACCTACACACATTTTGCTGAATTGTCAGTGCCATCACAAACCTGCTATTCCACTGCAGTCCCATTTTTAAATGCCTCTCATTTCCTGGGTCTCACTTCCAATAGCCAACTCTTTGTTATTAACAGCACATGCACCTGCCTGGAAAGAAATAGATGACTCCAGTTTCAAGTGCAACTCTTTAGGCTTGGAAATTCAAGATATTTTCATTTGAACAATAAGACTAGTTTCAATCAGGGCCTCAGAGCCAATGAACACACCAGATAGCATTAGAAAGAAGTAATCCAATTTCATCATGTACACACCTTTATTTCAAGTTTTTTAGCAACAGACAGTACCCAACGTAAACTGTCTCATAGTGAAAACCTGAATGACAGTCAAATGAACTACTTACTTCCCCTACAAAAAATTTAGTCTTTTATACTATTTTGGTTGTCTGGTGTGTGGCTGGGTGCCTACAACTGTAACGCAGCACGTTACCCAAAATCTTCAGCCTAAAAAGACAGGCCAGTTTTTGAAAAGATTTCTATATAACAATTTTCCAGTTGCATACTAGGAAAAAAAAACATCTCAGAAAGAACAGTGAGGCATTGGCACAGGCTGCCCAGGGAGGCGGTGGAGTCACCATCCCTGGATGCATTCAATAAATGCGTAGATGTGGCACAGACGGCCAAGGTTGAGTGGGCATGGTGGTGATGGGCTGATGGTTGGACTGGATGATCTTAGTGGTCTCTTTCAACTTCACTGATTCCATGATTCTGTGATTAGTGATTTTTTTCTCTCTGCCACGCAGAATTCCACATCTAGCATCTTTCCAAAACAATTTATTTTCAGTAATCTGTTTTTGAGTTCTTTTGCAAAAAAATACAGGTGGAAGCATGCACATAACCGTAAACAAATTAGCAAATGTTCATAAATAAGATTAAACTAATGAAAAACAAATCTAGATGATTAATGATCAGAGTTTACTTATAGCAGTAGTCTTAGCCATATTTTAAGCTTTCTACTTTATTATTATCGTGGTACTTCATTATTAAAACTAATTACATGCAGTTAGTGAGTTTCCTAACTACTGCAAACTACTGCTGATGTTAAGATGATGTATGGGAATATAAAGCTCCATCTAATGAAAGTACCTCTTAGGAAACCTTTACAAATTTTTAAGAGTCAAAACATGTAACATTTTCCTAATGGGAGATTCATAATTATGATCAATATGAAGTCATTAAAAGCTGAACAGACAGATATAGAAGTGCATTTCAGTAACAGTTACCAGTGGTTTGCTGTCAAACCCAGAGAGAATATCAAAGGAGATGACTCAAGCTTCTGTCCAACGCTTAAAAATTCTGATTGGCTACTTGGACAGGGAAATACAAAAACATTTATGAAATTTACATATTTGGAAAAGATATGTCGGTGTTCAGAAACTTAATAAATGAGGGGAACTTACAGAAATCAGATGAAATTAAATGAAAGCTGGAGTAATGAGTTGGTTATGTGTGATTGGCAGCCCTGACCATGACAGAGTGGGGGTTGGAACTAGATGATCTTTAACGTCCCTTCCAACCTAAGCCATTCTATAATTCTGTGATTCTATGCTCAAAAGCAGTCAAACACAGGATACTTGGA